GAAGGAAGGAAGGAAGGAAGGAAGGAGGAAGGAAGGAAGGAAGGAGGAAGGAAGGAAGGAGGAAGGAAGGAAGAAAGGAAGGAAGGAAGGAAGGAAGGAAGGAGGAAGGAAGGAGGAAGGAAGGAAGGAAGGAAGGAAGGAAGGAAGGAAGGAAGGAAGGAAGGAAGGAGGAAGGAAGGGCAGAGGTGCCAACAGGATCTTTTAGTGTGGTCACAGACAGGTGCTGGCCACCCACAATACCTAATTCCAAATCATTTTCATCACCACAAAAGGAAAGTTGGCAAGCATTAGCAGCCCAGATATTTCTGTTTAATTTGGATGGGTTTTGGCACATTGCTTTACCAAAATTAAAACAACATCCTTTGACAGCGTCTCACCACAGTCTACGTTTTCTTGGGGGTTTTACGTCACCCCTGTTCCTCCTCTTTGCATGTAGCAGGACCTCGCTGATCTCCTTGGATAAGGACAGAAAATGCAGTCCCCTGCGCCTCTGTCTCCACAGACACCGACTGCGTCCTGACATGCCTTCACACTCAGAAAGGTACCAAATCAGCTGGGAACGAGGTGCACTGGTAGATTTCTTGCCTCATGTGAGCAAGGCCCATGGTGCCATCCTCAGTATTGGAAACAGGGACTAAATGGCAGCAAAGCATGTTTTAAAAACTGTACCAATGGCTGTGTCCTGCTCTTGCAGAAGGCCTGAGACTGGGCCCCGCACTCATGTCAGGTGACTCACAACCCCCAGTCCTACTCCGGGAGCTTGGATGTTCTCTTCCAGCCCCTGTGGGTGTGGCACTCATGCACACGCCTACCCCGCCCCCACATACTTACAGATAAAAACACTTTAAAAAATGCACTGAAAGTCCAGCTTGACTTCAACAAGTATTTTACAGTCCTTCAGAGGCTACAGCACTGTGCAGACGTGTCCATAGCTGCTATTCTGATCTCATCAAAGGTAAAGGCATGCTAATGACCCAAGGCTCTTAAGTTCAGGAAACAAAGGCAACAGGAGCTTTTTTCAATTAACGCACTGACTTAATGCCAGGTTGCTCTGTCCTTGGACTGCAAGAACCTGTGCCTACTGAGCCAGCCAACTGAGGCTTCCTCTGCGCACACTCACTCCCCCCACTTATGGCCCTCAAGCCCCCGATTATCTAGAAAGACTTCACACCCAAGACAACAACGGGCTCTGTACACTGGCCCCAGCTCTTCGGCTTGGCTCCCAGTCCCAGGCTGAGAACACAGCCAGCACAGCGGCCTGGGTAGACTTCGCCTGTTCTCCTCTCTTCCTTTCCTCCTGCGTGTTTTAAGGAACACCCAAAGAGCAGATAATCAGAACCTGCAGGAAAACCCATGGACAGGCAAGAGAGAAAACTGTGGGGACTCGGGGACACCCCCACATGTTTCCTGGTCTGCTTTTGTAAGTAACACAGCCATAAAAAAGAAGCTCCCATAAAATGCCACATTCTTCAAAGCTCTATATAAACATTTTCTTTTAAGGAGTGGGGCACTCGGCATGTTCCTTCCTCATCATTCCACTTCCAACCAGTGAAAGGAATCCTAATTATACCATCTCCTTGTGGCACAGGCATTTACAGAGCCAACCGCGCAGAAACATCCACACACTTACGTGCGCTCTCTCTCTCTCTCTCTCTCTCTCTCACACACACACACACACACACACACACACACACACACACACACACACACACACACACGCTGGAGAGGTAAAGAGAAGAAGGAGATCTCGCCAGGCGTGGGAGGGCAGGCATCTCACTGCTTCTGTTTGGGCTTTCTGACCGCTGTGTTGAGCTTGCGTACTCGGACTCCTGAGACAGTTTGGGCCTACTCTCCTGAGTGCCATCCACATTCCATCAAGGTAAGGTGTGCCCAAGCTCCGCTTCGTTCCCGCTCTGCTTTGCCGTGAGCTGAAGCAGAGCCCGTCGCCTGTGCGAGGGGCTCCAGGCATGCATTCCAGGGTGGCCCTCCCCAGGGGCCAGTCGTGGGCAGGTGACTGAAGCTGCTAAGAGTAACTGGCACACCTCGGAGGGGCTGCTGCAGTGCTGATTTGCTCGGTGCGGAGGTCTCCCCGACCAGATGTGTCAGCAGCGGTCAGAGAAATACTTTCCATATGAGCTTTCCTCTCGCCTGCCTAAGTGCTCCGGCCTGAGTGAGGTGGGCACATTTGTCATTTAATCACATTAAAAAAAACAAAACAAAACAGGGAAGTTACAAACTTCAACTACAAGCAGAGGCCACCAGTGTGCTTTCAGCTTTCAGCATTTCTAATCTACTAGGCATCTCCACTTCCCTCTCAGGAGCTCCATTCCCCCAGGGACTCTCCACAGAGCAGAGGGCTTGGGTAACTACCAGGCGAAAGCCTAGGACAAATGACCACCTCAGTCTTGCAACGCGGGTTGGGGAGCAAGCTGTAAGCATGGAAGCCTGCTTAGGGGAAAAGCAATTGCATTAGCTCTCAGGGCTCACTTGGCTCCTGACAAGGCGAACAAAAGGCAAAGCCAGGAAGTGGCCTCCTGGCCTTTTAAAAAGGTATATACAGTCATGAGGCTCCTCAAACAGCAGGTTCAGGAGAAAGGCTGCATTTGCACTGCTCTATTCTCTGAGACTTTCTACCAGGGTTAGCAGTGAAGGGATGAGGAAGAGTCAAGTTGGTGCTGGCTCACTGCGGGAACGGTGGAAATACTAAATGTCCCCTTTCTCCTGCTCAGTGATCAACACTTCCCGGCTCTGCATGCATCACAATTGGCTCCTGGAGATATCAGTGATGGTCAGAAACATGTTCAGCAAACACACGAGCCAGACCAATAAGAAGCTGTTCTCGCAGACCCTAAAGCATGCCTCCTGTTTCCTAGCAGATCCAGGCACACCGGCGGCCCCTCTGGCTGCCACATTCCCTCTTCACACCCATGACAGAAAGTGAAACACAGGTTTACCCAGCACATCAAAGTGAAGGAGAACAGCATAGCATGAAGGCAGGGAAGAAAGGCAATCTCTCGGGCATGCAGATTCTTCCTGAGCACAAGAGGGAAACTGCCTTGAAGGAAGTACTGGAATCTGACACGCATCCCCAGACCCCTGAAAACGGCAGAAGCAGCATGCGCGCCTTAGGCATGTCACCCAGGCCATGCCAGGTCCCCAGGGTGGGAACTGCATCTCAGCACAAAAGTCTAGAAAGCACAGGATTCTTCAAGAAGAATAGAAGTTTCCCTGTAAGAAACGCCCAAGGTAAAGCCACATAAAGCATTATTCTTTGCACACTGCAAAGACCTATTCCCCGATCCCTCTTCATAGAGAGAAGGGGAAATTTACTGCTGACAAAAACATAATTTCTGACAAGAGATTTTATTTGGCTTACCTCTCCCCCAGGTCTTGCTAACATTGCTGTCTCAGTGTGGAACAATGTTAATAAAAGGTAGCCGGCAAACATTATTACCCAGAGTCAAAGCTGCCCTAGAGGAGAAGCCGTCCGCCAAGCGCCAATGCTAGCAGATGCACTTGTGTCCAGAGTCCAGCCTGGAGCTCCGCAGGCACCGCGCTGGCTCCCTGGCTCTTTCCCTCACTGTACTACCCCGGGCTCCGAGCGCAGCCTCTGCTCTGAAGAAAACTGGTAAGCTGATCTCTTCATGTAATAACTTCTCCTGGCTGGGGGAGGGGGCAGGAGCCAGCTGGGAGCTGGGGGGCTGCCTTTAACAGAAAGCAGAAAAGGGGAGGGACAGAAATGATCAATGTGGAGTGTGCTTCTGGCCTCATTCATGAAAAGGGCTCCAAGGTAAGCACTTCAAAAGCAGGGGATGGCTCTGCCTCCCCAACTGAGGCAGGCAGGAGGCAGTGGGCTCTGGCAGAAGGAGCTGCAGGCTGGCAGCTTGGAGAAGCATGAGACCCAGGGCCCTCTTACCTCTAGGTCTGGGTCTGAAGGGTTCTGTGACCTACACAAGTTGCCAGCTCTGGGACATAGTTTATTTTTCTCACTGGTCCCAAGTCAGGGGATGGGTGGATGGCTTCTGCATTCCTCTTTTCCATCTGACTTGATGGTTGCAAAAACCTAGGCAAAGACTCCATTATGAAAGGCAGTCTAGAAAATAAGGATGTCATCAGCGTGCCACCTGCTTGTCACACGAACATGAGTGGATGGGGACTGGGGGAGCCACAGTTTCTCCCTCTTGCTGCATTCCTGGGTCAGTGCATCTAAACCACTACAGCGAGGGAGGAATTACTGTTGCGGATGTAAAAATCAGTGGGAAAGTGGGCACAAGTGAACTCTGGGTGGTGATGCTGCCAAGAGTGCGGTGTGCAGGATGTTCTGGAGAAAGAAGACTCGACTCCTGTTAGACTCGGGGTGAGTCTGGGGACGTGAGGGACACAGGCTCACACAGCCTGCGGGAGCCCGCGGAACTCTAACAGTAGAAAGCAAGGCTAAAGCAAGGTCCAAAGTGGGCTACAATCCACAAAGTACTGGATGCTGCCTGCTAAGGCACACAGAAGCCCTAGTGGTCCCTCCTGGGAAATGGGGACATGTCACCCGATGGCACATCAGAGGTCACACACAGGCGCACAACTTGGCACCGTTTGTGCCATACAAGTTCTAGAGACCCAGGCTTTGTCTTTGGTCTGACCTAAGTTCAGAACTCAGCCCCTGAAAGTAAAATAAACTCTCTAAGGCTCCGGACTGGGAGCATCATCCTGTACGAAAGAGGAACTCTTGAACCTAACTGCAGTTCACAGCCTCTTGTTACCAGTGACCATGTGATGCTGATTCACTAGTGAGACTCCCAGGAAGGCTTGGGTGAAAAGCAATTAGAATTCCTCTTTCCAGACAATCAAGAGAAAGGAGGCTGCTGTGGTCCCCATATCCACAAGCTCTACTTTGGTGGCCATTCTGAGCCCGAGAGTGAGGTCCTTAACCACCCAGACACCTGGGTTCCCTTGCTTGCACCCTTACCTCCACAGTCATTCTTCCAGCTGCAGGTGTGCCCACAGCGACCAAGGAATGCAGCGAGGAGGAAGAAAGGAACGTGCAAGGGTTAATTCTAATTTTGTCTTCGAATCCTCTCTTCCTTCCCATTCACCGTTATGTGTCCACCACAATGGATCTTTTCTGCTTCCCAATGGAAGAGGCACCTTTACCGACTCAGTAGCCTGCAGAAGTACAGCAGTATTTAAGAAAGCCCAGCTCCTTAAAAGACCAGGGATGTTTCCTAGCCAGGGGTTGGGAAATTCCCCACGGAGGGTTTGGTAGTAAATACTTTAAGTTTTGCAGACCATATGGTCGTGTCTGCGGCAACTACTTAACTACCATCATAACAAATGAACGGTCTCCGGCAATACGCACACAAAGCATGTGGCCGTGTCACAGTAGAACTTGACTTGTACAAACAGTCTCCTGTGGAAACTGCCCAGTAGGCCAGGACGGGTGCCCCAAACCTCCGGTTATCTGCCTGTCTCTACCTCCCGTCCCACCATGTAAGCCTGTGTCACCGCTCTCCCCTCTCTGTGTGGGTTCTGGGGATCCCAACCCAGGTCCCCGCGCTTTCGAGGCAAGTGTCTTCCCAGCACAGGGTGTTTCCCCAGTCCTACAAGATGACTTCTGACACTCTTCCCTATCGCAGGAGCCCTGAAATGCCACCTATCCCAGTGCACAAGAGGTCATGTTTTAGCCACGTGTCTTCTCAGCACTAACCATGATGCCCTTTCAGAGAGGTGCTGTGGCAAGAGATACCAAGCTTAGGGTTTAACCAGCATGCGTTATGCGATTGAGCAGCACTGGCAACGCCCACAGTACCGTGCAGCCCTCAGGACTATCTGTTTTCGGGCTTTCTTGTCATCCTCAACAGAAATTATGTATGCATTAGACCACAACTCCCCCCCTTGGTCCTGGGCACCCCCTAATCTATTTTCCTTTGCTATGACCCTGGTTAGTCACAGAAGTGGAATGACACACTTTGCCCCTTTCTGTCTGGTTTATTTCACATAGTGAACTGTTTTCAGAATTTACTTATACTGTGGCACATATAAAAACGCCATTCCTTCTTAAGGCTCGACAGTGTTTGAGGCTGATAGACATTCATTTTGGTTTTTTGGTGATGGCGAGTAACACTACAACACACAGGAGAACACCCAGAATGCTGCCAGGGAACACCTAAGCAACAAGGGAAGTACGCGAGAGACACAAATATCAGAGTTCTAACCATATCGTTTCTGTTATGTGCACTTCTGTCTTACTAGCAATGGATTCAGCGTGTATTTTCTGCTCTCAAGATTTTAGCTTGTTTCTTGTAAAGACTGTCCCTTACTTGAAGGAAGAGGAAGATGTGACCTTCAGAGAGGCACACGCTGCTTGTCTGCATTGTATGGAATAGACCTCTGGCAGGGGTAGGGCCAGCAGTCAAGGCTCTGCCCAAGCATGGGGAGCGCAGGTGTTAGCAATTAACGCCCCCTTTGTGTGAACTGAAGAGCCATTAACTGGCCACAGAGGTGGAAGTGGAAAGCACTGTTGCATTCCTGGCAACTTCTCTCCGTTAAAGGGAAATTATGATCACCTATGACAGGGAGCCACCCTGCCTTCCTCTCTGTCTGAGCCAGAGCCCGGCTGTGTGAGCAGCTGTGGTCAGCAGGCCAGCTGTGTGGGATTACAGAATCCAGGGGTGGACTCAAAGTGCGCTCTCTGGATCAGCATCTTCACCCGAACCTTACAGAGATACAAATGACAGCTTCCTACCTTTTACTTCCTGACTCGGGAATTCAAAGCATGGGTCCCATTGATGGGCTCTAACACAGGTGGACGCCCTATGCAGGGATTATGTTACGTTCATATTTGCTATTAAATACTGATATTAAGTGATAGTTTTGTCTAGTCAACGTTATTTCAAATTTCAGCTCATACTATTATCTTATAAAAACTTATTTTCTTATAAAACAGGACTGCCAGATATTAAAGCACTGTGCCACTCTACAATAAATAGAACTCCACCAGTGGAGGAAGAAGCAAGCCCTTTCCCCAACTAAACAAGTCAGAGGACTGGTTTGTGATCATCAAGCCAATTCAAACCAGCGAAGGAAGAATTAAAAAGGTTGGGGACAAGCTAACCATTGGAAAGCAATGACGTTATCTGTCTAATTCCCACCACATGCCAAAATAAATTTCTGATGATTAAAGAGTTCGGACAAACAAATCAAGAATGAAAACTGCACACGAAGATGAGTAAGTGTTTCTATATTCTTGGGATGGGAAAGGACTTGAATACACGGTTCTGACAAGAACAGAAATTAGTTTTAAAATTACGCATTTACACACATATTTTAAAAAGTCCTATGCATCAAAAACACCATACAGAGAATTAAAAGCCTGATGCACAGTAAGATGCATACTTCACTTGCTCGTTTTCTGAAAAGCTCCTTTATGGGCCTGAAACACAGTGATCCGCCAAAGCAGGCTCAGCCCAGTCTTTGTGGAGCTGGCTGGCTCAGAGGTCAATGCTAATGAAATCCCAGAAATGCGCCTGAGGTTGCAATGGCGAGGGGCTGCCAAGGGAGGAGAGGTGTCCGTCCGAGAGGTCTGTCCTCACCAGGGGACTGCTTTGCCTCAGGAGCCATAATGGCTTTTATGACAACTGAGAGAGCGCACGTGTGTGTGAATAGAGTGAGCAAGAGGGAGGCCAGCACCGGCTTGGGCTGAAGACAAAGGGAGGTACCATGAAAGAGTTTTTTCTTTCTTCCAATAAGCACGGCTGACAGGGCAGGGACGGCAGGTCCAGGACAAGGTTTGCATTTTGCAAAGGCTACTCTGTTGTACCAAGAGGGATCAGAAGGCATGAAGAAAGGAAGAGGGCTGGGCTTAGAGGGACATGGAGGAGACAGGAGCCCCACAAGGAGACCAATAAAACCAAAAGATCTGAGCCCAGGAGGTCCTGCAGAGACTGATGCACCAATGAAGGAGCAGGCACGGAGAGGACCTAGACCCCTGCTCAGATGTGGCCGATTGGCAGCTCGGTCTCCATGTGGATCTCTGAGTGAGGGGAGCAGGGGAACATGCCTCTGTCATGAACTCAGTTGTCTGCTCTCTGATCACTCACCCCTGATGATGCAGCCTTGCCAGGCCACAGAGGAAGAGCATCCAAGCAGTCCTGATGAGACTTAACAAGCTAAGGGCAGATGGCATTAGTGGAGAACTCCCCCTTTCAGTGGACTAGGGGAAGGGGATGGAAGAAAGAGGGAAGAAGGGAAGCACTGGAGGAGTTGAGGGAGGGGCTTCAAATTTGGAATATATAATGAATAAATTTTGGAGAAAAAATAAAAGTTTAAAAAAAAAAAAGAAAGAGAGATGGCTCAGTGGTTAAGAGCACTGTCTGCTCTTCCTAAAGACCTGGGTTCAATCCCCAGCACCCACACGGCAGCTCACATCTGTCTGTAACTCCAGTTCCTAGGGATTTGACAACTTCATGCTAATGCACATAAAATAAAAATAAATAAAAATTTAAAAAATACCTTACTAAAAAAAAAGAAGGAGAAAGGAAGGAAGGCAGGAAAGGACTTGGAAGATTACAGCCTGGATTAAAAGGGAGAAGAGCTAAAAGCAGGTGGTAGAAGGGATGAGTCATCCCAACTAGAGTGCGTGTCAGGGGAGGGGGCCGTTCCCGTAATACGTCTTTAAAAGTGCACAGATCACATAAAGGCAATTTCAACAGTGAAAAGTCAGGTCTGACAAACAAACATAGGAGAGGGGTTGAATAAAGCATAGGAGACCCCCCAGATAAAATCCCACCCAATCATTTAGTTTTTGATGTTGGCACATTTTTAGGCCATGCTTTAAGACAAAAGGAGACCACACAGTGAAGAACTCTTTCCGTCCCTGGCACCAGGACAGATGGACAGCAACATTCAAAAGAAGGTAGTTGGGACCTCCACATTCTCCTGCATCCAAAATGAACTCGAGAGGGACCAGACTGTCCACCAAAGCGATCACAGTATGTGATATCCTATGCTACCCCCTGTATAGTGCTGGTATAGAAAATTGCATAATATATTGGGTTATCTACTTAAAATCTACTCTCAGCAAATTTCCAGTATGAACCATGAAGCCAGAAGACGAGGTGGTAAGTAAAACTTTTTGACAGAAGTTTGATTTAGTCATTGATGTACACATATCAAAACCGTCTGTGGTACAGCACCACACGTATGATTTTCACCTGTCAGTTAAAAGTACGACAGAAAGATCCGAGACTGGGAAAGCCCACAACATGTCCACATCCCAATCCCCGGCGTCTTAACATGCTGTGTGTGCTGGTCAGCTTGTGGTCAATCTGACGGAGCAGAACCATTCGAGACTAGGGAACTTCAGCTGAGAAAGGCCTCATAAGGTTGCTTGATAGGCAAGTCTGTGGGGCATTTTCTCGGTTAATGTGAAAGAGCCCTCTGAGGTTGCTGCTCTGCGTGGGTGGGTGGTTCTGAGTATGCAAGGAAGCAAAGTGAGCAAGCCAGTCAGCAGCTGCCCGCCACAGTCTCTGCCTCGTTCCTGCCTCCATGACCCTTCCCGGCTTCTCTCAATGATGAACCAGTCTACACGCTGAAATAAACCCTTCCTCCCCAAGTTGCTTTTGGTCCATGTGTTGCTGTTCTTTGAAACGTTCTTTTGGATTGGTTTAGTTATTGTGTGTGAATGTTGTGCCTGCATTGTGCAGTGTACCATGTGCATGCCTGGTACCCACGGAGATCAGAAGAGGGCATTGGGCCCCTGGGACCAGTGTTCCAGACGCTTCTGAGCTGTCACCTGAATGCTGGGAATTAACGCAGGCCCTCTGCAAGAGCAGCAGGTATTCTTAACCACTGGCCAAACTCTCCAGCCCCTTTGGCCAGCATTTCATCAACAATCACAGCAACGGAAACATAACTAACACATGGCAAAGGGAAGTTAAAGGAGCTGGTAGAAGTACCATGGCTGATCTGGTGGCTTTAAAACAGGTAGGTTAGCCTGGATCATCCAGGTAGAGTCAATTGACTACAAGGATCCTGAAAGTCTGAAAGAAGGGGACAGGTGATGACGTCAGAGGGACTTGACTTGAGAGAAGCTCGGCCTGCCACTGCTGGCTTCGAAGCTGAGAGGTAGGCCTGAGCTCAGGAGCCTGTGCAGTCTCCAGAAGGTTCAGGAGACACGAAGGTCAGAATCTTCCCTCCAGTCTCCAGGTATCCGGCCCTGGGGACACCTTCAGCAATACTCTTATTGTCATTACAACTACCATTATTAGTGTGTGTGTGTGTGTGTGTGCGCGCGCGCGTGCGCGCATATATGCCACACTACGCATAAGGAATGAAAAGGCCCTTGAGGGCCAGCTCTCTCCCATCATCTCCCCAGCGTCTTGGGATCTAAGTCTGGCCAGCACCGTGCTATCTGGTTATAAAAGGTGACGCTATGAGATGAAGCGCCCTTGAAAACATAGAGCTAGCTGAAGGAGGCCAGTTCTGAAGAGCATTTGTTGATAAAGAGCAATCTTTATGTGAAAAGTCTGGAATAAATGAACTTATAAAGACAGAAATGAGATTCTAGGCCGAGGCAAGGGGAAGGAAAACTGCTAACGAAGACGGATAGTTTGGGGGACTGTTCCAGTATGCAAGCACGCACACATCTGTGTGTTGCAGTATGCAAGCACGCACACATCTGTGCACACTTTAGATCAGCGAACTACGTGACGCGTGAGGCGGCGCTCAGCGGAACTGCCCTTTGTGGCAGTGAAAATGCAGTCTCTCTGGGGAAGCGCCACACTCGGCTCCCCCACCTCCACGGAGAATGACTTTCGGGCACGGATTGCGTGGGGAAGCGGGTGTCGCGAGGCACCTGGTAGGCGCTCCTGAGGACGGCGTCGCTGCCGGGAGCGGCGGCGCCCACGCTTGGAGTCACAAAGACTTTGCCAGGAACATCCGAGGGCTTTGAACTGACATCGGTTCTCTGTCTATGAATGACGTGAGTCCAAGCTGTCTAATGACAGTTCTCAACACTGTTTGTAAGCGCGGAAAACCTTAGCGGTGTGAATACGGGCGCTGAGTCACCGGACCGTTTAATTTTGACTAGCACTTAATTATACAAATACTGTGCTGCCAGCCCACAGAATCAAGGTGACATCCTGGGCCACCTGCCCTTTTCTGAAGGAAAACAGGAGGGGTGGAGCTGGGGAGGGGAGGTGTGTGGGGAGACGGGGGGGGGGGGCCTTCAGGCAGGACGTAATGTCCTGGGATTAACACTGACTGGACTTGCTATATGGGTTACTTGTCAAGTGAAGAAGTTACAATGCATAGTTCTGAGGCCTGGACCGTCTCACCACGAACACACAGAAAAGGTCCCGAGAAGGTGGCTCTCCAGCACTGTAATGCTCGCTACCTCTGTATGCCAGCTGTAGCTCCTTCCCTTGTCCCTTCCCAATCTCACCCTCCCTCCCTCTTCTCTGCCCATGCCCTTCCCCTGTCCACTGACAGGGGAGGTCCTCCTCCCCTTCCATCTGACCCCAGCCTATTAGGACTGGCTGCACTGTCTTCCTCCGTGGCCGGGAAGGCTGGCTCCTTTAGTAGTGAAATTTATTTGAATCCTGCTCAGATCCTCGGGGCCCAGCTTAGCAAAACACGCAACAGCGCCCTCTAGAGGTCATTCCCTCAAACTGCAGGCACCTGGTCCCAGGAACCCAGTGGCTACACCGTCCCTCGGCTCAAACAGCCCACTTTGCAGAAGGGCCAGCAACGCAGTTGGGTATCTTAGAAGCACAAAGTTTCTCACACCACTGTGTTAATTCTGTGTAGAGGGGAGCTCTGAACCTCTCACCACCAGGGCTGAGACATAGTTCCAGTGGATCCACAACAGTGCACTAACGGATTAGCTTGGTTTCCCCTCAGACATTCCAAGTATCAGCCTCTTGCAATGTTACTTTGACCCAATTAAATATGGCTAATTTTCTGATTTGAACAGGACAGGAGGTGACTGTTATTCTCTGGCTTTGTTCTAACTGACCTGTCAGACTCCTAAGAGAGTAAAGTAAATAGCCCACCTATGTTAGGAGAATGGCTTACACCCGTAAGGTAAGGCCCACACTAAGCACAACCTTCAAAGCTGTTCTGAACGGTGCTGCCTGCTGCGGGCTGGGTCAATCAACAGTCAGAACAACCCACCACAGAC